GCGTTATTTTAGGTTTAATGTGTATTTGGTATGATTTGGTAGGCTATTTTGGGGGGTCTGGGAATGCTAAAAAATTTTTCCATATAAATTAATAGTAACTTGTTTCAGCTTATGAAAGGTTTCAGAGGAATACTCTACTTTCAGAGAGCAGACAAAATCTATATCTACTATGTGTGGGCCCTGCGTCAGGCTTTATAAACCATGGACATTAGTGAAGGAGTAGACAGGCTCCACTACACGATTTGCAGGGGTCAAGTGCAAAATGGGACCACCTGTTCAACAATGAAAAAAATTTTAAGACAAGACAGCAGAGTATTAAACCAAAGCTGCGTCCTCCTAGAACCAGTCCTGTGCCACCCAACAGGTCCCACATCTTCGAAGTCAGGTCTGGAGACAGGCATTAAACAAGTAAACCTACTAACAAGTTTTTATTTTGGCTTTTTGACCAATCTCAGTAAGAGTGATGAAGGAAAAGAACAGTGTTTAAGGAGAGTATTAGGGAGAAATAATTTACCCTTGGGAGCCAGGGTAGGCCTCTTTCCGTAAGCCACATGTAAGTTCGAATCCAAAACATGAAAGTAACAGCATCAGAAATAAGTTCAGCAGAAGAGAGCAGAGAACATTCCAGGAAAACGAACAGCATGCCTGAAGGAACAAGCAGGAAGCGAGAGACAAGTTAGAAAAGAGAGGAGTCATGACATGTCTGGAGCTGGACCCTTTATTCTCTCTTTGCTCTAGCATCTAAGAGCGTGAAGGGAAGAACTACGGGTTGCTGCGTGTAAGGGGTTCCCTCTCATCTTCTCAGCAAAGTCAGAGACTGGAGGAAGCCACCTGAAGTCAGGCGGGGCCCCGCCGGGAGGACCCGTGCTTGCAACGAAGCACTTGGGAGATGTGGATGGGAAGGGTGGTCTGCAAAGTGCCTAGGAGGAAAAGGAACAGGCGAGATGGAACGATTCTGGGTGGGCGGGGGATGCACCCGCGACATCAGAGGACGAGCTGGCGGTCTGAGTGACCCAGACGCCTGCGCTCCGCAGTTAGACAATACCCCTGAGCCTGGCCGCGTTCAGGCCGACCCGGCTCACACCCCTAATGCCGAACTGACAGCCTGGCATGAGGGATGGCTGGTTTTCTCTCGGGACAACCCTTCCCAGACAAACGCAGGCCGGACCCGAGGAAGCCTGGCAGCTGCTGCGACCTCCTCCTCTGTCTTCCCGAGCGGAGGGAAGAAGAAAAGGCGGGCGCCGGCATTCGCCGCGGGAAAGGCGGCGCCCGGGGCTAGGCAGAGGACCCCGCACCTCGCCTCGGCCGTCCCAGCACCCTGTCGCCCCTTACCTTGTCCCACCGTAGCCACCGGGCCGTCTCCTGGTCCAGCCGGGTGTCCGTGCCCGGGCCACTGCCTCCCTTAGCCGCTGTCGCCGCCGCCGCCATCCCCGCTGCAGCCACCAAGCTCGGGCGGAGGTGATCGCGCCCTTCCGGCAGGCAGGGGAGAGGCGGGGAACCCGCCGCAGAACCAGTCGGTCTGGGAGGACGATGACGCGCTCTGTCCGGGATCACGCCTCCCTGCAGTTCATCCGCGCTCCTCTGGGAGTAGCCGGGCAGAAGCATGGGGTGGGGAAGTAGGGTGCTGAGTCTTTCCCATTATCCCTGAAAGGTCCTCAGGTCACCCCCATTCATACAACAGGTATTCACTGAATTCCTACTTGTGTGCCAGGTACAGTGTCAGGGGGCTGGGATCCAAGGATGAGTAAACTCAGATAGGATCCTAAAAATTAAGTAGGAATTCCGAAGGTCAAAAATAACCCAGAAATATCTTGAACAAGAAGAATAAAGTGGGAGCATTATGATAAACAGGCGGTGGAATGGAATGGAGCGTCCAGAAACAAAACTACACATTTGAGGACAGTTTCTATACCTCAGAGGAAGCACTGCAGAGCAAGGGGTCAGGACTTTTTTTTTTTTTTTTTTTTAATTAATGGTATCCGTGTCGAAAAAAGAAAAAAGAAACTTGAGCTCCAAGGTCATATCACATGTAAATATGCATTTCAGGTCAGTTGTAGATCTAAGTGGGAAAGATGAAATGAAACTTCTGGAAACTAATGATAAGAATACCTCATCATTACCCTGGGATCACCAAGCCGTAGAGATGCATGCAGTGAACATGAAAAGATAAATGCAGAATGTTTCCAGCAGCATTATTTATAATCCCCTAAACTAGAAACAACTCAAATGTCCATCAACAATACAATGGACACATACATTGTATATTTATACAATGATACAAACAAATTATGGTATATTCATACAGCAATGAAAATGAACTATTATACACAACACCATGGATGAACCTCACAAACATTATGTTGAGAGAAAGAAGCCAGACCCTTCCTCCACCCATCCCCACCCCCCAAATACTAGATCATTCTGTATATACAAAATTCTAGAATAGGTAACAATATAGGGAACGAAAACAGATCAGTGGTTTTCAAGAACTGGGTTCGGAAGAGGAGTTGACTATGAAAGCACACAAGGGAATTTGGAGGGTGATGGAACTGTTCTGTATTTCGATTGTGGTTGCGATAAACACAACTCTATGTGTTTGCCGAAACTCATAGAATTGTATGCTCTAAAGGATAAATTTCACTGGATTTGTAAATTATGTCTCAATTTTTGAAAGTCTTAAGATTTAAAACTTTAAAAAGGAGGCAAAACTAATCTCTGGACACCATGAAGATGGTATTCTGGGGAAGGAGGTGAGTGCCTTCTGAGAGGCTGGGACCGTTCTATTTCTTGACCTGGGTAGTGGTTGCTCATATTTGTTCACTTTGTAATAATTCACTGGGCTGCGTATATGAATTGTGCATTTTCCGTGTATTTTATTTCATTTTTTAAAAAGTAAACAATATATGTCCAGGATCTATAATATCTCTTTAAGTGTAATGAGAGAGGCATATTAATTATATAATCACATCAGTTAATGTATAGTTACAAACTGATAAAAATGTTGGAAGGAAAGCAAGGCGATTCCATTAGGGGGTTGTCCTAGTCTCAGGGGCTGCTCTGAGCACTTGAAGCTTACGTGGAGATGCCAGGGAGATGGAGAAAGCCCTAAATGTGGGAAGAAGAGTAGAAAGATGGACAGCCTTAGTCTCCCATCTGTCAGGTTGTCTGTGGGTCTGCCACACTCCGGGCTGTCTTCTTTCTCTGCACTTGACCAATCTTCTTTTCAGTCATGGTAGGACAGAAATTATGGGACACGGAGGGTCAGACCAGGCAGGTCTCCCTTACCCTTATTTCCTTCGCAAATGACAGAGCTCTCCCAGATGAGTCTGTGCAGCTTCCAGCCTTCTGCCAGGGTGGAGTGGGTGAGGGAAGGCTTGGGGAGGGGGGCGGAGTTCTAGGCCTCAGAGTTCTTATCTTTCCCTCCATGATGGGGGTAGTTGCAGCTGAGTCTCTTTTGCAGTTTGAAAGGTGTGGGGAGTGGCATGGCAAGGGAATATTTTGACACTTTTCATTACTTTCCTCAGCACAGAAATGATAGGCCCATGGTGACATCCCATTAGTACTATGTTAACCTCTATTGGGACACCAAGGGGCAGATTTCTCAATATTTAATATCAAGGAAAGAAAGCAAGTAGAATTTTCAAGCCCGGAGGAACTTTTCACAAAGTATTGCCAAGTTGTGGATAAATTCTGCTCCCTTAACCTGTGAGGGGCATCAAAATGTCAGGTGCTGTGTGAAAAACAATGCACAATGATCTCACTCTGTCCTTCCCTTCTGCTTCCCATGTGAAGTAGAAACCAGCCTCTTGAAGGTTGTATCAGTGGGGCCTCTATGTTCAGGAGACTCAGGGTCTCCTGTGACTAAGATGGATCATCACTGGACCACTTTTTGTTTCTGATGATAATACTAAAGTGACCGGAAGCAGCCGATTCCCACATATGACCCCAAATTAACATCTGGCTGTGGAAGCCACAGAGAAGAATAGAATGCTGGAGCAGGACAGTCTTTGAGAATAATTTGGGCCTTCTTGTTTTGTAGATTAGAAAACCAAGACACAGAATTTCAGAGCTCTTCTTCAAGACACACAGCCGGTCAATGACAGAGCCAAGATTCTTGTGCCAAGTCTCCTGATTTTCAAATCAAATGTTCAATCTCCTGTTTTGTTCAGCCTATGTCTACATATGACCATAGAGAAAGTTCTATAAACTCTGGTAACCTGTTTCCATGTTACAGCAGTTGGCTCTTGATAAAAAACAAATATTAACCACCTCTTGGCATTTATAATGTTAGGCGGCACTCAAAATAATTTTGTTTGTGTGTGCTCCCTTGCTGCCCAGGCACAGTTTCACACGTGGTTGTCCCATTTTCGTTGGAAGTCTTCCCAACTTTCCCAAACACTTTGTCAGCGATTCTTCCAGTTCTTTTGTATCCAGCCCAGGAATAGTTATTTAGAAACATTTATTTTGTAATGTTTTAAATATTTACTAAGATTGATCCCCATGCAACTGTCACTCAGGTCAACTGTGATCATCCATCGCCAATCTTGTTTTATACACCCCCTTCCACTTCTTGAGTACTTTGAAGGTTCCCTATCATTTCTTCTATAAATGTTTTAGCATATATTTCTAAAAGGTCAACACAAAACCATTATATCACCTAAACATTTTGATGTTGAAATTAGTAATTCCTTAATATATTAAATGTTTATTTAGTGTTTAAAATTTCAAATATCCAGCAGTATCTTTTTTTCCCTCCCTTACACTTTGCTTGAATCAGGAGCCAGATACTCCTTCCATTGGTTGATAAGTTTTTAGGTCTCTTTTAAACTATAGGTTCTGTCTCAATTTCTTCATAATTTATTTGTTGAAGACACTGGGTCATTTGTCCTATTGGTTTTCCACAGTCTGGATTTTGCTGATTGCATCTCTATGGTGCCTATTAACATGCTTCCTCATCTCCAGTATTGCCTGCACATTCGTTTCATTATAATTTTCATTTCCTAGTCTCTCCCCTGCTATACTGTGACCCCTTGAGGACAGGAATGGCACTATATTTATCTTTGCCTACCCAGAGCCTAGTCTTTCCTCACGTGGGAAAAGGTAAGGTTCTAGAGTTAGGCCTGGATCCTGCCTATACCTTTTGTTCTCTGGGGAACCCTGGACAAATCACTCAACTTCTTTTGGCCTCAGTTTCCTTATTTCTAGAATGGAAGCAATAATAGTGCCCACCACATAAGGGTGGTGTGGGGCTTAAATGAAGAAATACGTGCAAAATGCTTAACATACTGCCTGGCGTAGAGTAAGCACTCAGTAAATGTTAGCTGTTGTTACAAAAGTTCTACTAGGTTGGCATTCTGTATTAGTCAGCTGAAGTAATAAATTAATCCCTAAAAAGTTCTACTAGGTTGGCATTCTGTATCAGTCAACTGAAGTAATAAATTAATCCCTAAATTTCAGGACTTAGTGAAACAAAGATTTTTTTTTTTCTTGCTCATCTTACATGTCCAGGGTAAGTCAATGGATGCTGTATTTCCCACAGTCACCTGGGGATCAGAATTCTTCCATTTTTTGGCTCCTCCATCTTAATATGTGGCCTCTATAGTCACCATGGAAGAGCAAGAGAAAAGTGTGGAGGTCATAGAATGGGTCTAAAACGCTTTTGCCTAGGAGTGGCTTGTGTCATTTCTGTTCACATTTCATTAGCTATAACTCATCATGTGAACCCAATTAACTGCAAGAGTGCTGAGAAATAGACTACCCATGTGCCCAGGAAGGAGAAGGGAATTGAATAGGGATGGGCCTTGTATGTTGACTGTGATTAAATGTTAGGGCTGTTGCAAATATCATTGTTTCTGGTATATTTCTAACAAGCAAGGAATAATCCTTAGATACCACTCAGTGGAAATTTAAAACCACAACCTGATAGAACAACCCGTTCTCCTCCATCTAATAGAGTGATCAGACCATGCCCCTCATCTGTTTCCAATCCTCCCCTAGCGTCACAATGTACTTGGAATAAAAACTATCTATCTTTTACCATGGGCTTCAACGTTCAACATAATTGTCCCTGCCCTGATTTCCTGCCACTGTGCTCACTCACTGCGATCAGCCATGCTGTGCTGTGCTGATCCTTGAATGTGTCAAGTAAGTGCTGGCCCGAGGCCTATGCCCATCGCTGTCCCCCAGACATCCCAATGACAGATGTCCACATTTAATTCAGGCTTCTGCTCAAATATCACCTCATCAGAAACACTGTCCCCTGTAAAGTGCTAATAAATGTTCAACGACTACTCTGTGAGATAAAAAGCTCTGCTTTGTAGTATTTGCCAGTTTCCATGGTGTAAATATATCCACAATGGCTGATTTCAAGCTACCAACGTGACGCCACTGAACACAGAGTTGGGAAGAGATGTGCAGAAGAACATCCTTGAGAGTATTTTCAACACAGAGCTATAATAAATGTAAAAAACTTAATGAGCGTAGATAAT